GAGTTAAGTGACCTGAAGTTGACCTGAATCTGCTCATTTTACTAATGAAAGATCCAAAAGAGGTAACATGATTTACCAATGTCATAGAGTAGGTGGTAGAGGTGGATTTGAACCCAGGTTTTTTGACTCCATGTACAATTCTTTTTCTACCATGCTACATGGGCTCTCTCAGTCAAGATCATCTGCTGAACATGTAAGTATTTCTGAAGAAATCTTTAGAGCAAGGGTCCTTAACATGGATTCATGGGCAAATTTCAGGGTGATTCAAGAACTTGAATGGGAAAAATTGCATCTTTGTTTTCACTAACTTTTGGTTTCTTTTGTAATCCTATGTGTTTTATTTGATGTATCCAATGACATTATTCTAAGAAGGGGTTCATAGGTTTCACTAGACTACCAAAAGGGTCCATGACATGGAAAAAGTTAAGAACCTCTGCTCTGGAGTATCTTATAGCTATGGCACGGTAGCATCACTATTGCACAATCACTAATAGCACTGAGCAGTAATTTTTCCTAGCATGATTCAAAGTACAAAGGTCTCTGAAAATACTCACCACCCTACAAGCTGAACTTCACTCCTGCTTGCTTAAACTATAAGTGAGTGGGTATTTTAGGTAAGTTTTACAAAACTGAATGTATCAAATGGTGAGTAAAGCATAAGAAATTTAATACCTTCATGATACTAAACTCATGGTACAGAGCCACAGCAGGCCCTCGCCCCTATATGACAGTTCTAGTCTCATTCCCCTCAGCAACCGTTACAATTTTTTTTTTCCTTTGTACCAGCTACCCTACACCTGTCCCCACCTACTTTTACAGCAAATGGTCTATCTGAAGCTATCTTATGTGAATTCCTTCATGTTACCTCCTCTACCTCTCAAGCTTTCTCAACATCATCACCTTCTCTCTTCCCTTCTTTTTGTCACAGGAGGATATTCCCACTCACTAAAGCATACTCTAATACTCTTCCCTAACTCCCTAATCCTATTGTCTTCCACCTCCTCCAGAATCTTGCTTAACACTCATCCTCTATCTCTCCCTCACCATCATCTCCTTGCTCAGGTTTCCCCAGGTATGGGAGAAAAAAAAAAAACCTTCACCATCCACTTACTTTCTATCCCAATAAGCTACCATTCTCTCCCTTCTCCAATGTTATTTTTTTCAAGTTGTCTTATACCTGATGCCTTTTCTTCATCACTTCTTCAACCCCTTATAATCAGGTCTCCACCACTCTACATCTCTAAAGTGATTTCCTAAGTATTAAATCCAATGGTCATTTTTCAGTTGTCATCATTCCTGACCTTTCCAAAGCTTTTAAAAAATACTTATCCTTCTCTCTCTCTCTCTCTGTCTCTCTCTCTCTCTCTCTCTCTGTCTCTCTCTCTCTCTCTCCTTTCAGTTTCTCTAACTCTCTAAGAACTCTTCTGTCTCCTTTGCTGGCTCGTCATTCTCTTCCCAAACACCTTGATTATGACTGTCCCAGGAAGTCCTCTATTCTTCTGTCTATATACTCTCCCTTTCACCCATGCCTTCAACCACTCCCCTTTAAGCAAATAACTCCCAAAACTTTTATCTCTGATCCTGACCTCACTTCTGAGCTTCCGAATCATACTTCTAACAACTCATAATAACTCTCCACCCTGAGGTCATATCAATACTTCAATTTCAACATGTTCAAAATGAGTTTCAATAACTTCCCCCACATAAAACTCTTCTTCTGACTTCATTATTTGTTTATGGCAAATCCATTCACCTTATTTCCTGTGTTCAGAAGGTTGGAATTATCTTTGATGCTTCCATTTTCCTCACTTCTCAAATCTATTCTATTATCAGATCCTGTCAATTCTACCTTCTCATTATTGCTCACATCCATCCCACTTCCCTCCTCTCTAGTCCCATTGGCTCCAACCTAATAGAGACCTTACCTGCTGCCACCCCTGAAATACTACAATGGATTAACTAATCCAATAGGGCATCCCATCTCCCACTTCATACTGCATATCCCTATTAGAATAATCTTCCTTATGCTTGAACCTAAGAATTGTCTTACTCCTTTGCTCAGAAATCTTCAGCAGCTCCCTGTTGTCCACCAAGGAAAGTTCAAACTCCACTGCCTGACATTTAATATCCTTCACAATATGGTGCCATCCTATTTTTCAAAAATTATCTCACAAATTCAGTTAGAAAGGGCATTGGAGACTATCTAGTCCAGCTTGTACACCCCCAATAATTCCCTCAATGACATCACCAACAAGTGGTCATCCAGCCTCTATTGCAGGGTAGGGGCTGAGGAATTTGTCAGTTGTCAGACCATAAAATTTTTGGATAACTCTTGTTTGGAAGGTGTTTGTAGGACTTTCCTCCCTTACATTAACTCTAAATCTGCCTCTTTCACCCACTGGCACTATTTCTGCCCTTTTGGGCCATATGGATTAAGTCAAATTCCTTTTCAGCCTGAAGTTCCTTCCCACCCTACTCCCAGTCCAATAAAACTAGCAGTTATTAAGTGCCTACTCTGTATAAGGCACTGGAAATACAAAGACAAACCAAAAAAAACCAGTCCCTGACCTCTAATAACTTACAGGATAAATGTTAATAGTTTCTTCAATCCATCCTTATATGACATCATCTCCCAACATTTCACCATTTCTCTCCCTCTTCATAATACTCCCTTGCACATACTCTGTACTCTAACCAAACTGGAGTACTACTATTCTTTCCCCACTCACTGGGTTCTCATGTTTCAAAGCCTTACTTTACATTGTTCCTTGTATCTGCATTGTCTTCCCTTCCCTTCTTCTCCAGGGAAATACAGGATTTATCCATCTTTTAAAGCCTAACTAAATTGTCACTGCCTCCTTAAAACTTTCTCTGATTCCTCTCCTTTAACAAGACCTAACACAGTGCTTTGGATTGTAACTCTCCTAACATCATAGCTCAGAGCTAGAAGGAACCTTAGAGAACAATAAACACAAATTTTATAGATGAGGTAACTGAAGTCCATTGAGGTTGAGTGACTTTTCCAAAGCCAAACAGGTAGGAAGCTTCAGAGGCAAGATTGAAACTGAAGTCCTCTGACTCCAGAGTGTTCTTTTCTCTATACCAAGCGTCTTCCCTACTACATTTATTATGTAGCATGAGCAGAAGGAAAGTAGCTTTGATGAAAAAAAAATGAAAAACAATATAGCCTAGAGTTAAGTAAGCACAAGAAAAGTTAAGTGATGCAGTGGATTGAGCTCCAGTCCTAATGTCAGGAAGACCTGACTTCAGATCTGGCCTCAGATACTTACTGGCTATGTGACCCTGGGCAAGTCACTTAACCATGTTTGCCTCAGTTTCCTCATCTGTTAAATGAGCAGGAGAAGGAAATGGCAAACCACCCCAGTATCTTTGCAAAGGAAACCCCACGTGGGGTCACAAAAAGTCAGACACAACTCTTGAACAACTAATAAGTGAACATACCATAGAAGACATATAAATAATCAGTGTAACATCACTGGTTCCTATAATGTGTGAACATTGACTTGCATGTTGAATGAAAATGGAAATTCCTAAACTGTAACCAAAAAGATACAGCAAAACAACTTTCTGAAATTCATGATTACCTTTTCAAAAGCCTATCTTGCATTTTATCTTAAGCCAAGATAAGCTGAAGATAAGCCAACTAATCTTAAGTTTTGGCCTGGTCCAAACAGGCCAAAACTCCAGTGACCTGTTATCTCTGCACCTTTCTTTACCCAAAGGATATAAAAACAAAAGAAGACCAAAAACTTACTCAGTACTAAACCCATCAAATACCTTCCCTCTATAGAAAACTTCAGCCTTTCTAGGCTTACTGAAGATTTAACTCCAAGGTAGTGTTGTTCTTTTTAATCATTTTGTTTAAAGTCTTCATAACTCAGCTTCTTTAAAAAAAAAAAAAGCTATAAAGTCACAAATAATACTTCAAATTCATTAAGAGAATAGTGGTGAATAGTCATTATATTTACTGAAAGAGAGTTGAGCTCTTTGAAAAAAAGATTTACATCAATATATTAATGATATACTATACAATATATTATACTTATGTGAAAGTATATTTCTACTTATCTGAAAGTCAGCATGGTAGGATAGAGTATTGGCTTTGGTATAACCAAGATCTAGGTGCAAGTTTCACCTCTCTCCCACTTGCCCACCTCTCCCACCCTGCCATCCAGGCAGTGTGACCCTCAACTTCTCAGTGACCCAGGAAACTCTAAGACTAAACTGAAAAGTAATTGTTGCCCTACCTGGGTAAAAGAAGTTTCCTCACCTAGAGCTCACTACAGTAAAGAAATCACAGGTCCAGTTTTTTAAAGGATATTATTAAAATGGTTAGAATCACATGTTAATAGTGGTGATACATGATGTGATTATTCCGTGTAATTATTAACATGGTGATGATAATAATTATAGTAACTCTCCACATTTCCAGTACTCCAGTTGTAGTGAGACAGCAGCACAGCCAGCCGCTATTGTTGCTGGTGCCTTTCTAGGCTGTCAGTCTGTCAGTCAGTTTGTCTATCAGTTTGCTTTTCTGCCTGTCTTGTTAGTGTGTCAGCCAGTATGTCTGTCTTGTCGGTTGGTCAATCAGTCTGTCAATCTCAAGTCAGTTTGTCAGTTTGCCTGTCTGCTTGTCTTGTCAGTCTGTCGGTCTTGTCAGTCTGTCAGTCTAATTGTCTGTCTTGTCAGTTTGTCAGTCTAACAGTCTGTCTGTGTTGTCAGTCACTCTGTCTGTCTTGTCAGTCTGTCAGTCAGTCTGTCAATCTGTCTGTCTGCCTTCCTGCCTGCCCACAGTCTGCCCCGGAGCCAGGTGGTCAGATCACACGCTCGGTGCAGGGCTAGAGTAGTGTCCTTTCCAGCGAGCACTGCGGGCCTGGCACTGACCCCGGGCGGAGGCGGAGAACAGGCTGCACCTGCTCCCGAGAGTCCTGGGGCGGGCCACTGGGGCGGCCCAGGACAGTCCAAAGGACCTCACTCACCAGCGAAAGCACTTTGTAGGTGTTGGGATCCTTGGCTTTGGGCGCCCGCGCGCCTTTTTCGGGCTGCTGCTCGTCCCCCACGTCCAGGGGAGCCAGCATGTTCACAGCCGCCTGCGGATCCCCGGCGGCGTCCCCGTAGCCCTGCTCCTTGCCCGTTCCCGCGCGGCTCTCCTTGGTGCCCCGGAGGCTCCCGCTGCAGCCGTCCCTCTCCATGGTTGGCTCAGGCTTTCCGCTTCTCGGGCTCCTCTGCCGGCTGCCTTGCTTTAATAAGAGCCACTGAGGGCGGCCTGGCCCCGAGGACTCCGCCCCCCTCCTTCAGCCAGCCTCCTCCCAGACCCTTGGCTCTTTTCCCCTAGCCAATAATGTAAAATGTGAGGGGGAGAGCGGCCCAACGCCCCGGATTATTTGGCTTCCTGTCTGATTTCGGGCATTCTGGCTGTTGGGTTATTTTGGGTGTTTTACGTGTGTGTCTCTTTAACTTCCCCCAAAGCCTTTCCCCTCACCCCACCCCGGGCACCCTCTGAAGACCTGCAGGAATCGCCCTGCTCAGTACCTTAGTATTGCGTGGATTGCATAGTGTGGTCTGCAGAGGGCATGAGATCATGTGGCCCCAAAATAGTGCGAGAGGAGGAAAAGGAGGAGGATGGATGGATGGATGCTGTTTATAAGGGAACAGAAGAACGAGCCTGGGACTCTTCCGTGTGACTTTGTAGGCAAACTAGAACCAGTGGGAGGCAGACGGTCCCCCTGCTCTTTTCTCCCTCCTAAAAAGAAATAGAGGCTATGATGAAGAAAACATCAGGTTTCATCATTAAAATCATATGCTCAGAGGATTTAAAGTTGGAAAAGACGAGTCTATTGGGAAATATAGACTGCCAAGGTTTTGGTGTAATTCCTGTTTTGTTGTTTTGTTTAGTAGATTCATATGTTGGTCCTTTTAAACTTAATATGCTGGAAATTTTAAAGTGACATGTTGTCCCTTCCTGTGGCTGACGTTTTGATATTGGACCAGCAGTGACTCAAATTGGTTCCCTTGATATTTTAACAAAAGAAAGGGAAAAAAAAACTCTAATTATTTGCAGCAGGGATTCAAGAGGCTGGGAGAAGTGTCTTTTCTTTGGGTTTCTTCAACTGGCTTCTGCAGCTTTCACAGGGTAGTTGCCCATCAGTAACAAAGACCACGTGTGTGATGCAAACTCAGACTTGCTTGTGCATCCTTAAAACAATGTCTGCCAACAGTCCAGGCTTTTCAACAGCCGTATCAACTCCAGCGTTGAAGGGATGTTTGTAAATCCTCAAAACAAAATTAATATAGTTTCACAATGCATATAAATTTACATGCATTTATATAGTGTTTTGCTTTTTACAAAGAACTTTTACATATTGGATGACTAAAAATTAATATTATTTTAACAACATGCCAGACGAATGTTGATGCCTTCAAAGTATTTGGGTTCAGAGAGAGGAAGCAGTGTGGTACCATTAAAAGAGTGCTAGATGTGGAGTTGGAAAACTCGAGTTCAGGGGCAGCTAGGTGGCGTAGTGGATAGAGCACCGGCCCTGAAGTCAGGAGGACTGAGTTTACATCCGGCCTCAGACCAAACACTTCACACTTAATAGCTGTATGACCCTGGGCAAGTCACTTAAATGCCTAAAATAAATAAATAAAATAAAAGTGATGAGAAAGGATCCATAGGCTTCACCAAACTACCAAAGAAGTCTATTGCACAAAACAGGTTAAGAACCAGGGGTTTTGTGAGGCTCAAATGGAATAATGGATGGAAAGCACTTGGCAAACCTTAAAGACATAAATGCCAGTTATTATTATTATTGTTAGTCTACAGTTACCAGGTCTTCAGTCTGCTGATGACTTCTTCCCTGAGCCTTCTATTGTACTCTTGCTTGGCTTAAGAAATATTTATGGAGCAGAATGTGTGGTAGTAAATGTTTAACTATCCGGATCACCAAGAAAAAGAAAAAATGTATTTTTCAGAAATGCTTTCAAATTTATTCTGCATTATTAATGCTTTTTAACATCTAAACAATCAATAAAACAATAAATCAAGCCTTCATTTGCAGCAGTTACCTACTTCTAAGATGTAAATGTTCCCAATGAAAGTTTAAGGAAAGGTGGTAAAGGCTGGCTCCAGCATGCCTCTATTTAAAAAACAAACAAACAAAACCTAGAGCTCAGTTCAGTGCACTTGGTGCATGTTTAATAAGGGCTTGATGAACTGAAATGACTTCCCAAAGGGCTGGAATCAAAGTTGCTTTATGAGCCTACAAGAAAATCATCTTGGCTCATTTTAAATTTGCCCAACTTCATCATACTTTATTCCCATTATGTGTCATTTGGGAAACACATGGACCCTGAAAGGACAAATATTTGTCATCCCTAAGGATAATCAAAAGAATGTGCTACAGGCTCTGAGAGTAGTTCCCAAAAAAAGGGGGGGGAGAGGAGTTAAAGAAGCTACCCTATTCCTAGACTACAGATGTCTCTTACACAATGACTACTTTTATTTGTATTTTTTTGTTTTGGGGGGGGGTTTGGCAATTGGGGTTAAGTGACTTGCCCAGGGTCACACAGCTAGTTCTAAGTGTTTGGTCTGAGGCACTCAGGTCCTCCTAACTTCAGGGCTGGTGCTCTATCCACTGCGCCACCTCACTGCCCCCACTGTGACTACTTTTAAAGGAAAACATATTCATTTAGATATATATTGTCTTGTGTTTGTTTTAATAATAATTCTTGTCACTTTTTACTCAAATCTAACATCTATGGCATATGATACTTATTGGCGAGTGTAATGGGAACTGGAAACAAATAACAGGAGGCCAGTCTGAACTTTAAAATGGAAGAGGACAGCATCCTATTAACCACGTTGTTAGCCAGAGATGTCAAACACTGAGCTCATAATTTGATGAAGCCCACAAAACTCCCAAGTGCAGATTAAAATGTAATTGGGAAATATTTAACAAAATAAATAAAAATACATTGAAATACAGATAATGTTAATATGTGGTTTTCTAAGTCATTATGTAATCCTCAAGGATTCTTATATTTGGTTTAGTGGCCTGTTTTTATTTAAACTTGACACCACTGGTGTTAACTACAAAGAGATGGATAATGAACCATTAAGATGGTTGTACCATGCAAGAATTTCTCAGAGAGTGCTCTGCAAGATATGCACTAGGTGTCTGTAAGAAAATAATGATACTAATTAGATTTTCTCTTCTAACATATTAAATATGAAATTATGTATCAAAAATCCTTTTTCATGAAGCAATTTAGGGTATGAAAATAAGTTTGATAGTCCAAATTTTGCTCTAATATATCCCATTTTCTTTCATATGTGAGTGAGAGGTATGCCATATCCCAAAGCTTTACCATCAAGATGTATGGGTTCTATCAATATATTCAATCAATATATTTCAAGCACAAAGGGGTTCCATAGTCAAATTAGTTTAGAATGTACTGAATAATCTTCAAGATCTTTTGTGGCTATATGTTTTTGGGTTTTTTGTTTTTCAAGACAATGGGGTTAAGTGACTTGCTGGAGGTCACGCAGCTAGTAAGTGTCAAGTGTAGGAGGCCACATTTGAACTCAGGTCCTCCACTGCCTAGCAGCCCTGAGTCTATAAGCTAATTTACCAGTCCTATTCATTTTGTTCAATGGAACTCAGAGGCAGCTTCCAATTCCAAAGTGTAGCTGAGAGCAAAGGCATTGAAATTCCTAAGTGGATGGTATAAAGGTGAATAATGACTCCTTTTATCCTCACATTCACACATAGGATTGTCACTTTGTCTCAGGGTTTAAGAATGTATCCAGGTTTTTCTAAAGTCCACCTGCTCATCATTTCTAGTAGCACAATAGTATTCCATTACATTCATATAACACAACTTGTTCAGCCATTCCCCAATTGATGGGCATTCCCTCAATTTCGGATTCTTTGCCACCACAAAAAGAGCTGCTACATGTGGATCCTTTTTTCATTTGTATGATCTCTTTGGGATACAGCCCTAGAAGTACTATTGTTGGGTCAAAGGGTATACACTTTTTATATAGCCCTTTGGGCATAGTTCCAAATTGCTCTCCAAAATGGTTGAATCATTTCACAACTCCACCAGCAGTGCAGAAAAACCTGGAAAGACTTGTATGGACTAATGCTGAGTGAAGTGAGCAGAACCAGGAGAACATTGTACACAGTAACAGTCACATTGTGCGATGACTAATGTTGATAGACTTAGCCCTTCTCAGTAATGCAGAGATCAAAGACATCTCCAAAGATCTCATGATGGAAAATGCTATCCACATCCAAAGAAAGAACTATGGAGTTTGAATGCAGATAGAAGCATACTATTTGCTATTTTTTTCTTTTGTTTTGTTTTGTTTTCTCCTTCTTGTGGTTCCTCCTATTGGTTCTAATTCTTCCTTACAACATCACTAATATGAAAATATATTCAATAGGAATGTATATGTATAGCCTATATCAGATTGCGTGCTGTTTTGGGGAGGGAGACAGGGAAGGAGGGGGAGAAAAATTAAAAACTCAAAAGCTTATAGAAGCGATTGTTGGTAAATCAAAATAAATTAATTTTTAAAAATGATGTAAAAAAACAAAAAAAGAAAATAAAGATATTTGCCCCCTCCCCCCCCAAAAAAAGAATATCCAAAAAAAAACTTTGGGCTCAAGGATTGCTTCTGGTAACATAACAGGAATTCATTTATGTAATATTAGATTTGCAAAGTACTCAAAAAACCCTGAAAGAGACATAGTACAAATATTATTATCCCTATTTTACAAATATAGAAAATGAAGCCCTGTAAAATTGAATTACTTGCCCAGGGCTAAATAGATAGTGAGGCAAGGTTTGAACCCTCATCTTCAGACTCCAAGTCCAGCATTTTTCTGTTGTACCATATATATATATATATATGTGTGTATATATATATAGTAACGTCTATCGGATTTTACTTAAAAAGTTGGTTCAAGTTCATGTGGCTGTCACCCACAGAATGGCCTTTTGATTCCGCTCTTGGAGCTATAGTTGTTATCCAATAGGCTTCCTTGTACCAGGAAGAGAAATAGAAGTCTAAGAAGGGTTAGTTTCTTCACCAAGATCACACAGCTTGTTAGTGGCAGACCAGGACTAGAAAACAGGCCTCTGAAGTCCTATCCAGTAGTCTATCCTCTTTTTCTCCTGTCCAGTA